AATTTTAAATAGAATTAGGATGCATTACAAATCACTGTATACTTCTGCAGACGCAGAACTTCTCGATATAGATCTGGCAGAAATTATTACAGTTACTGAGGTTCCAAAAGTTGATAATCATGTTGCCAAATCACTTGAGGGAAATATTATGGAAAATGAAGTCTTACAGGTGTTAAAAAATATGAAAAACAATAAATCACCGGGAAGTGATGGTTTCACTGCTGAATTTTTTAAATTTTTTTGGTCAGATTTGAAACATTTAATAGTACCTGCCATAAATGATGTATTTCAGAAAAAAGAACTCCCTATCTCTCAAAGACTAGGGATAATTACATGCTTACCAAAAGGTGATAAGCCAAGAGAATTTCTGAAAAATTGGCGGCCTATTACACTTTTAAATGTGTTTTATAAACTTATATCAGGTTGTATTAGTTATAGAATAAGATCCACCCTGGACAATATTATATCAAATACTCAACTTGGCCTTTTAAAAGGAAGATACATAGGTGAAAATAACAGATTTCTTTATGATCTTATGGCTTACACTGAATCTAGAAATATACCGAGGTTGCTTGTACTTATAGATTTTGAAAAAGCTTTTGATTCAATATCCTGGACCTTTGTGTATAAAGTATTAGAATTTTTTGGATTCGGTAAAAACATCATTGAATGGGTAAAAATTTTAAATACAGAATTTTGTGCATCTGTTCTTCAATGTGGATTTTTATCTGAACAGTTTAATACCCAAAGAGGATGTCGTCAGGGAGATCCTGTAGCACCATATCTGTTTCTTCTTTGTGCAGAAATTCTTGCAATAATGATTAAACAAAATCAAAGCATTAAAGGAATTGTAATTAACAAGACAGAACATAAAATATCTCAATATGCAGATGATACCTGGCTTGCCCTTGATGGTTCACCTGAATCACTTTTTGCAGCATTAGATACAATTGATTTTTTCTCAAAGTTCACAGGACTTAAAATTAACAGCTCAAAAACAAAAATTGTTTGGATAGGTTCAAAAAAATTCTCTAATCAAGTTTTTCACCACTCTCGTTGGAAACTTGAATGGGGTTGCACAACTTTCAATTTACTTGGAATTAATTTTTCAGTAGAACTAGATAAAATTATTGATATTAACTATAATGTTCAAATACCAAAAATCAAAGCATTAATTCAACAATGGAGAAGAAGAATTCTTACTCCTATTGGAAGAGTCACGGTGCTGAAAACATTGATTTTACCAAAACTTAACCATTTTTTTATATCCTTACCAAATCCAAATAAAGAAACCTTGTCATTATTGAACAGAGAAATATTTGAGTTTATATGGAAATCAAAATGTGATAAAGTAAAAAGAAAAATTATTACTCAAGATTTTTTACAAGGAGGATTAAAAATGTTGGATATAAATAACTTTATTATCTCTCTTAAGTGTTCCTGGATTAAAAGATTAACAAAAAGCAATCAACCATGGTTTGATATTTTTTCGACAATAAATGGTAAAGACATATTGACTAAACTTTCTGAGTTTGGTGAAGGGTTTGTATCTTGTTTGATTGTAAAAAATAATGATTTTTGGAAAGATGTGTTTAATTCATGGCTATTTTACATGAACACACTCGATAACAATTCATATATGAAAACTAAGTATCTGAATTTACCTGTCTGGTATAATCCCAATATAAAAATGGGAAATAAAGTAATGTTTATAAAGACCTGGTATAAAAATGGTGTTAAAAGTGTTTGTGATTTCTTAAACAATGAAGGAAATTTTTTAACTCTCACTGACTTTGAAAATAGATTTCATTTGTTTAATGTTTGCATTATGCAATACAACAGTATTATCTGTGCTATATCCAGGTATTTAAAAACAATGTCTATAGACAAATCATCTGTTAAGAGACAATGTACACCTTTTATTCCTTTTTATTTTGAAAATATTATTGTATACGAGAAGTGCACAAAAATAATTTACAAATATTTGAATAGTAACCTTGTCACTCCTACATCAATATTTAGATGGAACCAGGAACTGTCAGTGTTTTTGGAATCTGATATTTGTGTTCAAGATGTTTTTAAGGTTTGTTTTAGAACAACTATGGATACTTCTGTTCAATGGTTACAGTATAGAATCCTTCATAGAATCCTTCCAGTGAAGTATTATTTGAAGAAAATAAATGTTTTATCTGATGACCACTGTACTTTTTGTAAACAGGAGATAGAAACAATACAACATATATTTTTGAATTGCACAAAAATCTCTTCATTATGGAGTAATCTTAGTATGCACATTTTTACAAAAACTTCTAAAAGAGTTGGGTTTAACATGTGTAATATTATTTTTGGTGAAACTCCATTACTTTATCATAACAGGGTGATGAATTTCATTATTCTTTATACAAAGCAATATATATTTTCCTGCTTGAAGCAAAACAAAATACCTATGATTAATGGGCTGCTACATTTTTTAACTCTTAAGTACAAAATAGAAAAATGCATATCAATTCAAAAATTTGAAATGAACAATTTTGAAAACTTATGGTCAACATGGATTAATATTTTTGAGTTATAAACATTTATTAAAGCACCAACAATAATTATTTTTTCAAATGGAATACTTGTACCTCATTGTTAATAATTTTCTTTTATTTCATTCTTGTTTAAAGTCAGAGGGGGAAGTGTGAATGTGTGAGAGAATGTGAGGAAAAGAAAAAGTTTCAGTATGTTACTTGATATATCTCTTTTTTTCTAATAAAAAAAAAAAGAAGAATTTCAAAGACATTTTCCATGAGTATCTTGTTTCAAGGTGCAATGTCCATCTGATAAGAGAACTTTCGAATGAAATTATTCCAAGCAACTCAATGTATTGTCTTACCAGAACTTACTAATGAGGACCATTATATCGTCAATTCAATCAATTCTGAACTATGTTACAAATATTGATTTCTATTTTCTATTAATTACTTATGATAGTTTACATAAAATATTTATACTAAGTCCCTTTAAACTGTTAAAATTGAGATATATCTATCTTTTAACATAGAATTCTCTTAATTGTTATAGGACTTTTAGATGCAGAATTTTTATAATCATTTAATTAATATTTTTTCACTTAAAAAAATTCCTGTAGATGGAATGACAACTCCCGTAGATGGATGCATTTTTCTGTTACAAGTACAGAAAACATGTAAAACTTTTGCAGATTTTTGATATTTATTTACATGTATTTTTTGAAATCCCCCTTTGCTTCATTCCTGCCTGGACCTTTTCGATAGGAAGAACTTGAAATACACGCTACATAAGCTGAATGTGTTAAATTTAACAATCTTTGTCTCTGTCGTTTTTAAATTTGAGTACATTTCTATGTAAAACCTTTTATGGCAAAGTAAAAACGATTGTATTTTTTCCCCCTCAAACTTTAAGTAAATAAACTTTATTTTTTGCATAATTATCAATAAAGGATAGTAATTTAATCAAAGTAATTTTTCAAAATACACAATAAATTTTCCGTAAATCACTGTATCCATGAACGTTTCTAACAACCCTCGTATTTGTTATTATTTCTAGGTGTTATAAAATAATTTAAAGCACCTCCTTGTATTTGATTGAATCTAATTTATTGCTATAAGTTATATATACTTAGCAAAATATTCAGTTGTAAATATTGATCTCAGCATGAGATGTGATGTGATCATATCGATGTAGTAATTGAAACAATAAAAATTTATGCATAGTAGCTATATTATGGAACACAGATAGGGCCACACAGTTCATTATCGCACCATCGAGCATTGACGAAAGGGTCATCAATGGCGCGATAATGCGATGACGCGATAACGAAGAAGCGATAACACGATGACGATGAAGCAATGGTGCGAAAGCGCGATGACGATGATGCGATGGAGCACAATGTGATGACGATGGTGCGAAAGCACGATGGAGCGATAGTGACCATCGCCTCATCGTCATCGCACCATTGTTTCGTCGTCATCGTGCCATCGCTTCATCGTTGGCATTGTCGTGCTATCGCTTCATAGAGCCATCGTCATCGCATTTTCGTGTCATCGCACCATCTCTTCGTCGTCATCACATTATTGCGTCATCGCACTATCGACCCAACCGCGATGGTGCGATAGTGAACTTCATGGCCCTATCCGGATTCCATACTATATCGATATAAACGTTTATATTTCTTGGAATAAAAGAGAGAAAAATTGTCTCGGAAATTCCATTCATCGAAACGCCACATTATTTGGGATTAATATGATCTTACTTAGAACATACCCCGTTTTTTCATTGGCTGGTCCCGAATTCCGTACTAATCAAATGTTTTCTCTTTCGTTTTTGTTTTCGAAGCTCTCAATTAAAAGAGCTAGGTTCACTTTATGCATAAAATTACCCTGTAGATATACAAATTAATTGACTAAATACAATCTGTGTCCCATTTCAAACATCACAAAAAAACATAGACTATTAAAAAAAGTTTGCTCTGAGAGTCCAGGTATTGGAAAACATACTATGTAAAATTGTATTGTTCTTGAATTCTATAGAAAACATGTTTATTTGAGTACTTTCAGCGAAGGATAAAAAATATGAGCACACCCCTTGATCCAATAAATAAAACATGGTTTGTAATCTTCAGAAACAGATCTCTGTTATTTATATAATTGCACATTTTAGATCAGAGGTTGTGCTCTATACAAAATAATGAAAAATAGCTTAGCATAATAGCATAATGCATTGACTAGACAGAAAATTACGTCATTTTGAAAGATACGCAGTCACCAAAGGTCCAAATGATATTTAATGCATTGTCAACTAAAACTAAGCAGTTTCACTTTTTCAGAAATTCAAAGGGCCAAAAAAGACCCTAAATTAACCTTGCTTTTTGAACATCAAATTACTAGAATATTCAGTGATTGCTGATTGGATGGCAAATGGGTTATGTTCTAAATAGAAGATAAATATGTACGTATTTTAAATCATATTTTGATTAGTTGGATTGCTGTGGTTCTACCGGATCCAATGGGTTCAGATCCCTCGTCATAAATGCAGGATATGGAAGTGTTACTGGATATCAACCATACGTGTGTTGTTTGGGTCAAGATTATGTTACAAGTAACGGTTTATATGGAGTACAATGTGAGAAAAAGGTAAGATTTATTTCACCCCTCTCTTTTCGGATTTCAAATGGTATAAGGTCGTTCGTACAAAAATGTGTATCGGACTATCCTAATAGATATTTTATTGTATATATAAATAAATTAAGGCACTGTTCAAAAACACATTTTTTAAAGAACCTCTGCCATATTTATTTAAAGGGGGTGGGGGTATCACCTTTTTTACCATCTGATGAATGGGGAAACATTGAGATCTTCTTTTTGTGTTTTAATTTGGTGCACTCTTTAGCTCTGAAAATTGAATTCCAAAGCATGCCCAAATCCAAAAATGAGGCATTTTAATCTGTAATGTCATGTGTCCGACTCCTTCACTGGAAAGATTAAGTTATGGTAAGGGCCAAATTTGGTCCCTTATTTGATATAAATCAAATAACAGTTAAAAAATTATGCTTGTTTAAAACCGCATTGATTTTGATTCAAAGCGTACATACAGATTATAGGCGGGTGATGAAATTAGAGAATTTTACTGATAGAATATTGTCACATTTGAGATAAGGTAGATAGGCAAGCTTGCGCTGTGTGTGAAACAATTGATGAAAATAAGAGGACTGGGAAATTGACATATTCTGTGACCTCTGTGCACCCTATCACTTAATACTCATCCAAATTAGGGCTAAAAGGGAATTTAGCTTATCTTGTCTTTTGTAGAATTTCCTTGTTATATAACCTTTCTCATATATTAATTTATTACCTAATACTACAGATATTTATTAATTATATAATATTTCTAACGATTTTGTCTGCATATTTATTCCTTTGAACTATATGTATTTGAAATAACTTCAGAGTGATCTATGATCCATTAGCCCACCGGTCAATAGTTTGCAAATTTCGGACTGGCGATATCTATTGGACTGACAGTGTCCACATTTTCAGTATAATATTAGATAATAAAACAAACATGATCAGACATTAAAGAACTGTTTTATTGCCTAATTTTATTCCTCGTATATGGCCACTACCGGTGTTGTAAAGTGAGACTTCCCCCATAGTTAGACTTCCCCCCGAAAGCCATGCTCTAAAGTGAGACTTCCCTCGGAAGTTATACTCTACAGTGATACGTCCTCCTTGGGGGATTAATGACTTTAGAGCAGGAGAATCCCCCGGGGAAGTATCATTCTAGAGCCCCACTTCCCTGCGGGAAGACTCCTCTACCATTACTTGTTGAGTCAGACTTCCCCCATACTAAATCTTCCTTCTTCGCTTAATCTTGCTTTTACTAATACTACAATCTCTACAGAGATTATTTAGTTATCAAAACTTTACAGCGGTGCACCAATTGCCCCCGTTTTCACTGAAAGTGGAGGGTTATAAAATGGGGTCTGACCGACCGTTTGCCCATCAGTTCGACTAGCTGTCATTCTGTTTGTGTAACTCTTTCGTTTCCGGACGAAATCTTAAAAACCTTTGAACTCTTGCGATGAAATTTCATATCATTACTTCTTATGGCTTATACCTTTGTCACATTTAAAGCCGATGGTCGGGCGACCAAATTTTTCTCGTATTGTCGGCTGAAAAACATAGTCGGCCGACACTGGAATCGGGAGACGAGGAGCTGTCACATTAATTCCTAGGAATACCGATAATTTTTATAAATTAAATAATTCTAAGTCGGACAACAGTCTACCGATGATCGTTCGCTAAGCCGCAGTTTGGTGTTCACCGTCGGCTGACATTTACGAAACACAATTCTTAGGTGTCGACCGTCCGACTTAATGAACTGTCTGCCGATGGTCGGACGAGGATCGAATGTTGGTCGACAGACTATTCAACGACTGCTTCAATTGAAGGAATAGGCCACCGATGCAGAAAAATTATAACATGGCCTGACAGACACAAAATTGGTGGGCCGACGAAAGAAAAAAAGTCAAAATCGAGCAAGACAATGGTCAATGAACAGCCGACTGTCGCCCGATGAATCCTTTTTTGTCTCAAAAACCGCTGGCCGTGGTCGTTTTTGGAAATGTGACTGGGATTTTAGATAAGTACACCGTACTCATATGTCTAATATAGTACGAAATAAAGTTAATAGACAGCAGAGATACTACTTTTTGTATGTTACTATTACTTAAAAGTTAAAACATAAAATTTATATCCTCCTTTTCCTTTCCAATAAGTTAACAAATTTAAAATTTACTTGATAGGGTAGAGAGGGGAGTTGATTGTTTTACTCTACAGCGAGGCTTCAACGGGGAAACATGGCTCTAGAGTGAAATTTCCCCAAGGAATAGTATCTAGAGCAAATCATGCGGGAGGAAGTAAGGCTCTAAAGTGGGGCTTCCCCTTGGGTATACTTACTCTCTTTTGATACTTTCGGGGAGAACATGGCTGGGGGGGGGGGGGGGAGTATAGCTCTGGAGTTAGACATCTCCCTAGGGGGGAAGACTCACTCTAGTGGAAGACTTCTGGGGGAAGTCTCACTTTGGGTAGAGTTTCGCTCTACAACACCGGTCCATAAACCAGTTAGGGAATACTATCTTTTACTTGACAATTAACGAGATGGGTTTGGTTGTATACGAATTACGAAATGAATAAAATAACACAATGAAAAGTACGTAAGTGTGTAATGGGGAGTAACCAGTTTTGACTCATCAATATAGGTTGTATCAAAAAGAAATCATAAAAAATAATTTTCCATCAATCCTTTAAACATTATATCTCAGCCAGTTTATTTGCTGACATGCTTTTGGAGAGTATTACATATGTGCAAAACTTTTGTTTTTATAATTAAAACTATCTCGTCAAGTAAAACAGATGCTCTCCCGTAGAATTCATGTATGTAGAAATCGTTCAACTTTGACAAAAACATCTTTCTGGTTTAAGGCATGTGGTGCTGAATTTGTGTCTATTGCAAACATTTACTGCAATGGTTTGATAGCGTCGATGTCTATCACTTCATTTCTTGAGGTATGTAATAGAGTGTTATATTTCAAATACCCAACAATCTCGAACAGATTTTATTTCCTTTCTTGTAGATGTCTCTGTTTAATTAATTTAAAGTCATCATTTGATTTATCATATTTTTCTTTTAGATAATCTGCCTTGTATTTTCCATTCTTTACCTGAAAAGCAATGAAAATCAAAAAGAAAATAAATTCTTTTTCGTCCTGCTAAAAATTTTCATTGTTGGGTGAGTTAATAAATTATGTAACTTGTGCATTGCGCAATTTGCTATGTATACACATTTTACTATGGATTAACGAATGTTTATTAAATTAAATTGAATAAAATGCAGATTTTTTTTTTAATTATTAAAGGAATTCAGAAGTTTCTTTCAAAACGAGGTTAATTGGATTCATTTGTGCATGTATATTATTGGTAAGTAAATAACTCGCTCGTTTTATTTCACTATAATAAAAGTGCTTCAATTTTGTTTTTAAAAAATGACAAACGATAATTTTTGCAGATGTTATCCCTGGGTGGTTTTGCTGAAAGTGCAGCATTTCTGTACGACGATGTATTTTCGAACAGGCAAATTCAACCGATATTTGAAAAAATGTCCATGGCCGGAAATTCATTTTCAAGAAATCTTATCATTATGAGATGGCTGATGAATACAACAGGCGTTCTCCTCTTTGTCAGTTCTGTATTTTCCATTCTAACCATTCATCAAGGATCAAAGTTTTTGCACTCCATGGTATGAAAACTGCTACATAGTCTTTGTCTTAATTCAAAAAATACATATATAAACAAAACGTACACTGTTATAATTGTTTGGTCTTATTAAAGTTTGAATATCTCTTAGACAAAAGTTTGCTTTGAAACAGAATATTTTGGTTTGTGTCCTGGGACTTCCGATGATCCTGACAAACTTAGGATGGTGGATTGCTGTTCATGTTGAGGTACAATAATTATTGCTGCATTGCTAGATGTTCAATGTTTGTTATTTTAGACAAAACAGCTTTAAATGCAGAATTGAAATGCAGAATTACTTCAACTTGGTTTATTTTCACTTAATCTTTTATTGATTTAATCGTAAAATATTCACTAAATATGTTATTAATTTTGAAACAATTCCAATTGGGCTTATGTTTCAGAATTTTCCAGAGGGATTTTTAATCAATTCCAATTTCGACTTTTACTCTTTGCTATCTGATTGTTACCGAATGGATGAAACTGGAGCTTGGAACAACTTGTTTGTTAAGGTTAGAGATGACATTGATATTAAGGTTAGAGATGACATTATTGTTAAGGTTAGAGATGACATTATTGTTAAGGTTAGAGATGACATTATTGCTTAGGTTAGAGATGACATTATTGTTAAGGTTAGAGATGACATTATTGTTAAGGTTAGAGATGACATTATTGCTTAGGTTAGAGATGACATTCGTGTTAAGGTTAGGATGACATTATTGTTAAGGTTAGAGATGACATTATTGTTAATTAAGGTTAGAGATGACATTATTGTTAAGGTTAGAAATGACATTAGAGATGACATTATTGTTAAGGTTAGAGATGACGTTATTGTTAATGTTAGAGATGACGTTAGAGAAGACAAAGTACCCTGTAAAGAAGTACTAGTAATTCTAACAAATAAACAAGAGGCCCATGGGCCACATCGCTCACCTGAGCACAATGGCTAGGAAAAAGAACAAATCAATTCAGTATTAAAAAGTTTACATGGGGGGAGGGGGGGCTCTTGAATTTTAAACTACCTGAGGATGCTTTCATATCAATATAACAAATGGCTTTGCTGTTCTTCAGTAGAAGATTTTTAAAGATTTTTCCTATATTTATATTCCGTTGTAAAAATTTGATACCCCATTGTGGCCCCTCCCTACCACCAGGGGTAATCATTTGAGCAAACTTTAATCCACACTACCCGAGGATGCTTCCATATCAATATGACTGAACATGGCTTTGCTGTTCTTGAGAGAAAGATTTTTTCCTTTATATTCCTATGTTAAACTTTGATCCCACCCTACCCCCGAGGGTCATGATTTGAACAAACTTGAATCTACAATACCTGAGAATGCTTCCATATCAATGTGACTAAACATGGCTTTGTTGTTATTGAGAAGAAGATTTTTAAAATTTTTTCTTATATTTCTATGTAAAACTTTGATCCCTCCTTGTGGCCGAACCCTACCCCCCGGGATCGTGATTTGAACAAATTGAATCTATACTACCTGAGGATGCTTACATATCAATATGACTAAACAAGGCTTTGCTGTTCTTGAGAAGAAGTTTGTTTTAGGTTTTTTTCCTATATATTCCTATGTAAAACTTTGAACCCCCATTGTGGCCCCACCATAACCCCAGGGGTCATGATTTGAACAAAATTGAATCTACACTATCTGAGGATGCTTACATATGAATATGACTAAAATGACTGTTGTCCTTGAGAGGAAGATTTTTAAAGATTTTTTCCCTATATATTTCTATGTAAAACTTTGATCGCCCATTGTGACCCCACCCTACCCCCGGGGGTCATGATTTGAACAAACTTGAATCTACAATACCTGAGGATGCTTCCATATTAATATGACAAATCATGGCTTTGCTGTTCTTGAGAGGAAGATTTTTAAAGATATTTTCCTATATATTTCTGTGTAAAACTTTGATCGCCCATTGTGACCCCACCCTACCCCCAGGGGTCATGATTTGAACAAACTTGAATCTACAATACCTGAGCCTGCTTCCATACCAATATGACAAATCATGGCTTTGCTGTTCTTGAGAAGATTTTTTAAAGTTTTTTCCTATATATTCCTATAGAAAATTTTGATCCCCCATTGTGGCTCCACCCTACCCCCAGGGGTCATGATTTGAACAAACTTGATTCTACACTATATAACAAAGATTTCCTATGATTTGCAACTTTTTGGGCCAGTGGCTCTGGAGAAGAAATTTTTAAAATATGCCACCAAATTTTCACTATTTCTGAATTATCTCCCCTTGTATGAGGGCGTGGCCCTTCATTTGAACAAACTTGAATCCCCTTCACCCAAGGATGCTTTGTGGCAAGTTTGGTTGAAATTGGTCCAGTGGTTCTGAAGAAGATGTCGAAAATGTGAAAATTTTACAGACGGACGGGACTACTACTATTTCTAATAATAGGAGCTTTTTTTTTTCTCAAAGGGCTTTCTGTTTTAAAATTTTCAAATATCTTTGTAAGTTTGTTACATTGAGGTTCAATAAAAGTATTATTTGAAACTATTTTGTTTTTCTTTTCCAAAAAGTGAATTTTTTTTTATCTTGTTTATTTCTTTTTTTTTTCTTGTTTTTTTTAGCTCCAGTGTTGTGGATATACAAATGGCAACGAGAGTGACTTTTATTCTGTTGTTCTGCAGACTACATCAACTTATAATGGGCATCAAGATAAAACACCTTTGTTTTGTTGTCATTCCAATCCCCTGACTAAGGAGTACAACTCTGACTTCACAACATGCACTTCCTACGGAGGGGAAGCCTATAGATATACAGAGGTATATTGAATGATCCATATATCGATTTACACTGCTGGTCAAGTGCGAATCGAGAAATTCTTGGTTTCGGACACTCTCTACTGCTAGCAACTGTGAACTGTCTACTTTAATTTATATTTTTTGAAATTGCACAATAAAAATCATTTTTTAGAAAGCAAATTTATTGAATAGTTAAGCTATTGAATTGCTTTCATACACAAAAAGTGCTCAATATCGAAACATTTCATGTGAATGGCTGTTTACATCGGGTTTTCATGTACTCGGATTCGAATGATAAAGAACTACAAGACTAATTGGACAGCTAAGTGGATAAATTTAACTTTTATTAAATGTTATTCAATGCTATGGACACAAACAATGTGCTTTAAATTAATAATTTCCATGGAATTTGCCAATAACTAGCAAAGTCATTTTGTAGGTGCTACAACTGGTTTCTGTAAAACGTTGACACAGGTGACTTTTTATTTGTGTAAATGCGACAACTGGTTTACGTCTATGAGACTGTTGGTTTATGTAACTAAACGTGAAAATATATGAAATTATTCAAACTTGCATGATAAAAAAATCATTATACCTCTAGCAACCACCTCTTGTAGCTGACATCTGCACGAAGCGCGTTGAACCGAATCGTCTCTTGTCATCTTAAATGCACAGGCACCTGAAGCGTGGACCCCCCCCCCAATAACTAAAAAAATATAAGGAGTCTTTATTTTCTCGAAAATATGTGATTTCTCTGTCAATTTTTTCTGTATATCATTCTGTGAAATTGGTTTCTACTTTTGTTAGGGTTTAAAAATTGGCCATAACGGTATGTTGCCAATTTTTTAAACCTTAATTTTTTTGGGGGGATGCAATTATCTATGGCATATTTCAACTGTCTTGTTTATGTGTCGTTTAAACTTGTACATGTAGGTGAAGGTCATGGAGTCGAAAATGATATTATGATAGTTATATTTTTGAAAGATGTTGCCGTAGGTAATGTAATGTAAAATTTGAAAGCCCCATCTTCTTTCATTCAAAAGTTACATGTATTACCAATGTAAAAAAAAAATGAAAAAAGACTAGGTTAAACTTTAAGGTACAGGTCACAAGGTCAAAAACAGAGAACATTCCGAAAAGCCTTGAAACAGGCAATGCACACGTCAAATATAAATGGTCTATCTTTTCTCGTTCAAAAGTTATCAGTAATGTAATTTTTATTTTGAAAATTAGGTCAAACTTCAAGGTTAATGTCATGATGTTAAAATCATTGCACATTTGGAACATCTTATCACAGGTAATGTACACGTAAAATATGAATGCCCTATCTATCTTCTCTCCTTCACAAGTTAGCAGCAATGATTTTTTTTTAAATTAGGTCAAACATGAAGGTCACGTGGTCAAATATCATAGCACATTCGGAAACTTCTTGTTACAAGTAATGCACATGTAAAATATGAATATTACCTTCTCTCATTCAAAAGTTATAAACAATGTTTAACTTTTTGAAAATTAGGTCAGACTTCCAAGGTCAAGGTCACGTGGTCAAAAATCAAAGTAAATTTGGAAAGGTAATGTACATGTTACATATGAAAGTCACATATCTTCTCATAAGTTAAGACCAACGTTAACGTAAAAGTAATGATTAAATTTTTGAAAAGTAGGTTAATTTTCAAGTTCTAGGTCATGGGGTCAAACATCGTAGTATATTTGGAAAGGTCTTGCCACTGGTAACGTACATGTGAAGTATGAAAGCCCTATCTCTTAACATTCAAAAGTTTTGACCAAGGTTAAAGTTTTTGTGACAGACTGATGGACTGACAGACGAATGAGATTTAATGTCCCCTCGCTTTCGCGAAAGCGGAGGACAAATATGTGCAAATGCTTACAACTTGATTGCGTTGTATTGAACTATACGATAGCACAAAATTATTTTACAGCCCTGTTCCACAAAGCTGTCCGATAGACTTACCAAATATAGTACTGTATTTTACACTATTGCGTCACTCAGTATAATATTAGAGGTGAGTTGTTATCTTGATACTCCTTATAATGAATGATTCCACATTATGAAAAAGAGTTGCTTTTTTGTTAAATGTATCCTAGAGTACCCATAAATCGTCCCCTTACGACATTCAACGTCATAGTAACGGCGAGCGCGTGCAAATTGATAAACAAACTTCAGTGCTATCTATAGAACGGAAATGCTGGTTAAATGTTAATAGTCATTTTTTCATATTACTCTTGACAAGATTTTTAGAGCTCTTCTACAAAATCAAGCTTTTACACTTAAAAATGACACCCATGCCCTATTTTCGTCCTTCTGATATAAAAACGGCCGCAAGCGATTGGTCTATTTGTTTTTCGTGATTTGTGATAAAACAAAAGGTGGAAAATCATTAAAATAAAAATTGTAAATAAAGTTCTTCTATACAAAAGGTATTTTTAAAAATAATAATAATAATATTCTTATTAATTTAAGAACATTCAATTGCTTTTGCTATTACCGACGCCGTTTTCTTCTTTAAGAAACACGAAAACAATGTGCTTTCAGATTCACATTGTCAACGATGTCATTACAACACATGCTCATCAAATTACCTGATATGCGAATTATACAATGTTATATTTCAGATTTTTCAAAATTCATTGGCCTTACTAGCAAAAACCGATAGAAATTCAATATATTTGAACACTGCAAGTTTGACCGACAAAATCTGGAAAAAACAGAAAAACTTTAATTTACTGAATGGTTGGGGTTAGGGTTACGACGTAGACGAATTGATCACCTAATTATGATGTGTGAGATATTCAATTTACAGGGAAATTTTTTTATCTACTCTGCAGTAGATGAGAAATTAAGTAAAGAGTGGTAGTAAAGATATTGTTTTACTTGATTATCAATATGTCGTGAATTTCATACCCAGTAGACGACCGCTGGATTAGTTATGCTTCAATGCACATGGCACCTGTGAAACTGGTAAAAATTGTGACAAAATACACCTTCTTTGGTCGACTAAATAAAACGACTGTTTGATAAAATAAATTTTTGGTTTATACAAATGAAATATTTTCCTCTTAGTTACTAGACTACTTTTCGACTTTTTTGCGAAAGGGGAAGGGGGGGGGGGTGTTTTGATCAGGACTAGCGACTGAGCAAGGTCAAAAGTAGATCTATTCAAACAATGTGATCATCATTGCTTGGGGCATGGGCATGTTGAAAGATTGATTTTTTTAAAGGGGGGAGTTATGATAAATTCTTATGTACGATAAATATTTATTTTATTTATTTGTCGTATTAATAATAGATTTCTGGAGGGAAAAAATCTGGATTATATATACAACTTATTAAAAAAAATCACTAGCATGACATAAAATGTTATAATTTGTAGGACCAACAGAAATTCTTTTGTTGGAAATATTCACAGTTATTAGTCAAAGTTACTGATAAAATCTTTGATTTTTGGACACTCTATCATTTGCAGTGATGACTTTTTCTGAAATAATTTGTAATACCCGCTTGGTCGCATAGTATGTCAACCAAACACGGGTAACGTCAATATCTAGGTGGAAAGTGTATAAGATCCTTATGATCTGGGGGCATTAAATTTTTGTTTTCAAATTCTTAAATTAAAAGCCCATGCACGTAATTGAATACAATGGCAGGTATAAAATAATAAAATGAAGGTAAATTTGATCTGGAAGTGATTTTGGGAACGTAACTGCCGTGTACACTTTCAATAAAAAATAGACCTAAGGAAAAAACAGATACATTTAGTTTAAGAATTTTAATTTTCTTTAATTTTACTCCTAGTTTAAACTGCATATTCTAAAAAAATAATTGCTAACACATTTGCATCATTGTGTTTACCAGTCATAACAATTAAAAATGACGTCATCGATACATAGTTCGAAACGTGCGGGCTGTGTGAAGTTTGAGGACGATTTTAGGGTACGGACGAATTTAGGGTATACGACGATATATAGCCTGATTGATCCGGAAAGGAGTTTTCTATTTCTACTATGATTTCATCTCATAACAAATAAAAAAAAGATTAATTTTAAATGAGGTCCTCTTGGGCAAAATAAATGACATACAAATTAAAGAACTTTATTTATTTATGTGTTTGTTTGTTTATTTTTGTTTGCAATTGTTACCTTTATAAAGATGAATCAGATGTTGAGAACATAAAATTAAACTGTCATTAGTTTTGCATTACATTTTCAGTTTTTAGGTCACCTGAGTCACTCGGGTGACCTTTTGCTATCCGTTTTTGTCTGTCGTCGTGCGTCGTCCATCTTGCTTTGTGCGTCACGCGTTAACATTTGAACATTTGCAACTTCTTCTCTGGATCTGCTTAATTGATTTCAACCAATTTTGGCATCTAGCATCAATGGTGAAGGGAAACAAAAATTTTGAATTTCATGATGGGTGGGGCTAAAACCACCAAAAGTAATGCAATCTTTAAAAATCTTCTTCTTTACTCCAGGACATCAAGCAGTCAAACTATTGGCATGAACGTAATAAGCATTTAGCCCTCTACCAAAATTGTGAAATTCATGGTCCCAAGGTCAGGGTGTTCTGGTGCTAGGGCGGGGCTATATAGATCATATAGTGAAAGTGCACTATTTCTTTGAAAATCTTCTCTTCTCCTCTTCTCCTGGGTTTTAAACAAACTACAGGTACATAGTTATAATAAGCAAGGATGCCTCTTCCAAAATTGTGAAATTCATGGTCAGGGGTTCTGGTGAAAGCGGGCGGGGGAGGGGGGTGTGGAGTCAATTGTTTATATAGTGAAAAAGCATAATTTCTTTCAAAAATATTCTTTTCTGCTCCTGGTTAAAATCAAAGAAGTTATGAAGTGCTTCTTCTAGAATTTGATTCTCTTGGCCCCAAGGTGAGATACTCTTGTGTAAGGGTGAGGCTCTATTGATAATATAGTGAAAATCCATTAATGCCATTAAATAATCCTGTCTGCTCCTTAGTGTTGAGCAGATAAACAAAGTGCATAGTTATGGTGAACAACGATGCTTCTTACAAAATTTTTAAAACTTGTGGTCTCAGGGTCAAGGGTTCTGGTGTTTCTCGGGAGGGGGGTTCTATTGATAATATAGCGAAAATGTGTTAATTCTTTGAAAATCTTCAACTAAGTGCATAGCTACATGTATGATGATGAGGGTACCTTTTCCAAATTTGTGAATTCCATGACTCTGGGTCATGGGTTTCTGTTGTTAGGGTAAGGCTGTGTCGTATCTGTAGTGAAAATGTATTATTTCTTTGAAAATCTTCTTTTCTGGACATATCGGAGACAAACAAAGTAAAAGTTTTAATAAGCATGGGTATTTTTTACCAGATTTTTAGGTCACCCGAGTCACTCAGGCGAATTATTGCTATAAATTTTTGTCTGTCGTCGTGCGTCGTCCGTTAACATTTGAACATTTTCAGCTTCTTCTTTAAAACCGCTGAACCAATTTCAAACAATTTTTGGCATATAGCATCCATGGGTAAAAGGGAACAAAAATTGTGAATTTCATGATCCCTGCCCCCCTGGGGCCTGAGGGGTCGTGCTAAAACCACCAAAATTAATGCAATCTTTAAAATCATCTTCTTTACTCTTCTTTACTCCTGAACATCAAGCAGTCACACGGTTGGCATGATTGTAGTAAGCATTTAGTCCTCTACCAAAATTGTAAAATTCATGGTCCCAGGGTCATGGGATCTGGAGTTAGGGCGGGTTCTATTGATTATATAGTGAAAATGCATTAATTCTTTGAAAATCTTTTCCTCTGCTCCTGGGTATTAAATGAACTAACTAAGTACATAGTAATGATAAGCAAGAGTGCCTCTTCCAAAATTGTGAATTTCATGGCCCCAGGGTCAGGGGTTCTGGTGTTGAAGCGGGGCTCTATTGAATATAGCTCAGAAGCACTAATAATTTGTTAATCGTCTGCATGATGATAGGGATAAATGGGGGGGGGGGGGGAGAGATTAGAACTGAATTCATGAGTTGTTACTGAATACTAGACTAATTATTTCATTGATCCTGATCATCCTATTTCTCTTGCTTTTTTTTTGGCAACAAAGCTTCATCTCTCAGTTTATTTTATATCTATTGATTTTCTAAATTGTTGTATTATACTCAGGTGACCGTTAAGGCCCTTGGGCATCTTGTTGAACATCTCGACCATTTGGTCAAGTGTTCTGGTCCTTGCCAGGGCTCTATTAACTTGTATTCTACTGAGAAAAGTTGTTCCCTATAGTTAATGTATTATTTTGAAAGGTTAATAGAATAGAGAATTATGCAAGAATTTTATTGTATAATACACAAAAAGTACTTTCATAGTTTTAGTGATCAGACAGACTTGTAAATAACAGATAAATATTTTTAATAAATAATTATTCATTTTTAACAAAAATAACTTACATGTGTCTTATTAAATGCTGTTCAAAGACAAAGAGGCCAATTTAAGAGGTTATAATAAGGGGTGGAAAATAATACAGAAGCGCTAATAGTTTGTTAATAGTCTACATGGTGATTAGTTATAAACGGGGGACAGATTAGAACTTAATTTATGAGTTTTTACTGAATACTAGACTAATTATTTCCTTGACCATGATCATCCTTTGTCTTTTGCTTTTGGGCAATAAAGCTTCATCTATCAGTTAATTTTATGCTCTATGGATCCTCTAAATTTTTGTAATTTACTTAGATGACCGTTAAGGCCCTCGGGCCTCTTGTTTATTTTTTTTTATACGTATGTAAAAAAAAATATACTAGTAGATGATATGAAGTTAAAGAGATCTTTATTTTTCCAGTATGAAAAATTATATTATAGGTTTTTATGCTTGTACTTCTTGGTAAACTGATAAAGACAGATCTTCCATTGAAAGAAGACCCTTTTTTGATTAAAATCAATTCCTACTTTGGAAAAGACAGGTAATATATTTTACTCATGTAATTCACTGCTTTACATGTTTTTGTTTTTAAATCAATTCCTTTACGTTGTAGTTTTTGGTAAGAGGTTAGTACAAACAAATTTGTTAGAAAAACTTTAAATTTAAATCTATTCTCATGCGATACTTTGGAATGTGGGACCCGAAACCATGCATGATTCTAAGACTTGCACAAGAGCATTAAAATGAATTTTCAAATGTATATATAAGCCATGTATTTCGGTTGTTCTTCGTGTAGAGTTTTAGATTAAGGCAAAATAAAAGTTGATATAAACTTTAAAAATATGATTTTGACAAAAACATTTCTATGTAAGTGAAAAACAACCAATAAAAAACAAAACCCTCGATGAAATCGAATTTCCATGTCAACTCGTTACATCACTGGGCTACTCATATTTAAAAAAAAAATAAATAATGCATATGGCACCAGCGGATTGAATTTGACAAATTTGTTGGATTGCAATAAGTCGATTTGTTATTACTTTTTAAGACCAGCAGTTACATGTAGCTCGTAAACCTGACTAAACTGATTTAAAAATCAAGTTGTTTGAAAGTAGGGTAAGGAATTCATATTACTCATTCAAATGAATATCCATTAATTTTTTGTTACGTGAAAACTATCTTAAATTATTATTAGTGTTCACCTTTGTAAAAATGAGTTATTTTAGAATGCTCCTCTTTTTCATATACTAAAACTGTAAACATCAATTTCAGATTGCTTAATAGGTAATTAGCGATATATACCACAACCTACATTTAATTCGCCTGTGTACATTATTTTAAATAAATTGCATTTTTCGTAGGCCGGAACATTTAATAATCCTACTATTTGTGACTTTCTGTTTATTTTTTAAAGAAAGCGAAAAAGAAATTTGGAAAATAGTACAAAAGAAAACCTTGAAATGTCACCAAGAGGAGGTAAACAAAGAAACAATTCAGAAAAAGAAAACTCTCATACACCAGAGTTCCAGGAATCAAAGGATGACAGATCCCAAGCATCAAAGAAGAGAAAGGGAGCAAAGAGGAGTGGAAGAGTGACCCCTATCTCCGATGAACATGACGACCAACTAACTAGGAGGGAACTTTTACCTACTAAATTACCGCCACTAGTAACACCTTCGTCCTTGCGTACATGAATGTTGAACATGCACGTCCATGAATCAAAAAAGCTGTGATAATGTCCCAAAAGATCAAGACAAAACTTTTAGTTTGTGGGTTGCAAAATAACCAAAATTGTTAAAAAAAATTAATCATTCATGTACATGGTTTTCTTCTGTTTTTATTCTGATTTTTTTCTGATTAATTGCAATTGTTGAAAAAGTACTATGATAAAACTAGACATGTACTACTTGGATTATAACATTGGGTAGTTTAATATGAGTTAAAATTTTTTGTGTCAAAATTTTTAGTGGAAAAAAAAGATATTTAATTTTTCATGTCAGACAAAAGGTTTGTAAACCTCTCATTTTAATAATTATTTGTGTTAAAAAATATTTTTATAAAAATGCTCTTACTATATAATAATGATAATTCACGAGAAAAATAGCTTGTTTTGAATTTAGTCATTTTTATACAAAATATTTAACCATTTGTCTGGATCACTCTTCCTACAGTGTAGTTTAAAGATGTCAAGAAAGAAGGTTTCACGTTGGTGTCGAATATTCGCTTTATTTAGCTTAAATGTTTAAGCCAGTTCCTCTGTTTTATTTTTGATACTTCCAAATAAGACAATTGATTGACCACTTCTGTATTATCCTCTTCGAATGTTACATTTCCTCCATTCTTGGTCATGACTCATTAATTTAATTTTCTTGATATAGATCTTTAGCCTGTCTTTTCCCTGTTTTATTTTTTTTTATCCTGTCTCTCATGTCTGTTAGAGTTTGAGATAGAAGTGGAAGGTCTTCTGCAATGTCTAGGTCGTGTATTCTCTAACTGAAGAGGGACTGAATTCCCATTTGCACTTTTGTAAATGGTTGTCTTGTCAAAAAGTATCAGGAAAAGTGTTGGTAATAGGGAACAATCTTGCTTAACTCCAGTTTTTACAATAAACGATTATATCAGTCAGAGTTCTTTTATGAATTTTTTTTACCTCATACTATATGTCTTTATCATGTTGTCGATCTTAAATTGGGATTCCATAATGACTTACATGTAGTAGTTTCCAAAAAACTCTGTCTATAGATATCAAATGCTTTTTCAAAATCGTTGAAGTTGATGTAAAGTGGTTATTGTCATTCTATATATTGTTCTATAAGAAAATAGTACAGCTTTGGGTCCGTAGAGATTCAGATCAATCTGGTTCGTTCGTCGCTTACTACTTTTTTCCTATTGCCTCTTTTATTCTATTCAAAATAACTGTTTATAATCTTTCTACACAAAGCAATGTGATGCCTATTAATTTTTTTTCAGAGATAAAGATCTCTTTTCTTTGGTACATGTAGTTTAACAGTAAGGCCCTTGTTCGATTAATTAGGGATTCTCTTTGCTTCTCATAGTTTGTTAAACAGTCTATACAAATTTTCCTCTTTTTTCTTGTCCTTTAGTTACCAATACCTTCGTTAGTATTTCGTCAATCCCTGCTGTTTTTATGAATTGAACAGATTAAACATAAGTAGCTGTTGTCTATGGTGGCATACTTCTACCCCTATATGCAAGTTATTTTCCTATAGATTGTGTCAACATGTAAGGTAATTATGTCACCATGCAACATAAATTTGTCAACATACAACATAACTAAGCTGATATGTACGAAAAATGTAATCAGTTAAGAATTTTGGAAAACTTTCCAAAATTATCAAATATCGCCCACATGTGACTTCCAACATGCTAGATGCAACTTATTTGTTTTAACATGCGAGATAAATATGATGACATGCAACTTGTTTATGTTGACATGTAATTTATTTATGTTGACATGCAAGATAATAATGCACACATATAACACAAAGTCTATTATCCTGCCTCTGATAAAAAATCTTGAAACTTCATTGGTCGAAAAGAATACTGTATTAAACCATATTCTGCTGCCTACCAACATTATATTGTTAATGTGCCCCCTCCACATGACCTACCCACCACATATCAAATCAATATGCCCCATCCACGTACCAGGCTCCGGGCCATAAAACTGAGACGATCTCACTTTTGATCTTGTCTCACTTTTCCACTATATATTCCTATTGTAAAGGTGAGACCAAGATCAAAAGTTAGCTCGTCTCAGTTTTATGGCATTGGAGCCAGATCATATTCAGTATGTTGTTTTCATTTAAACGCGCAAGGATCCTAATAACATAAGCATCAAACGACATCACGTATAAAAAAAACTTTGACAGGATAAATTCGTTATGTAGACACTTAGAGGGGTAATACGGAAATATATGGGGTCATTGAATGGATTCGTTCTCATGAAGACTTTGCACTGGAGAAATTTTCATCAGGAACAGAGTCTGATGTTACTATCTGTACATTTGCTGCCTTGTCAATCTCTTTTAACCATTTTAGGGCAATATGATCAGTGCGCACTATGACTTTATGACCATAATGTCGGAAATGTTTGCATGCAAAGACAAGAGCTAACAATCCCTTTCTGGTGACACAGTATTTCCCGTCACTCTTGGATCGTGTTCTACTTGCATATAATATAACTCTAGTCTTGCCTTCTATTTCCTGAGACAGCGCTGCGCCAAGCCCCACTTGACTTGCATCCGTATCAAGTATAAAGGGCAAGGAGAAGTTTGGATGTGTCAATATCGGAGCAGTTATCAAACACTTTTTCAGTTTATCGAAAGCATTTTGACAATCAGACGTCTACTTGTACTCTCTTCCTTTTTCTGTTAGTCGAAATTAAAGTTGTGCAACGCTAGAAAATTCATGTATAAATCTTCGGTAACAGCTGCACAGTAAGAGGTGCACCATCAGCACCCACAATTCTCTGTGTAGCTGGTGAAAGTCCAATTTTACCCGTTTTGTCTATTTCAGTATACAATTGATCTGAGAGAATAGTCAGAGTGATCCCGGTCTCTAACAGTAAGTTTCACTGAGTGCAATTTACCATTGTCTTAATAAACAACCCAGATTCTTGCATGTCTTGGTCAACTTTCAGTGAGGTTGTGCTGGAAACTATCGAACCAATTTTCTTCTGGGAATCTGTATTTTCCTTTAGACTTGTTGAATTCTTCAAGTCTGATTTTCGCATCTTAGTTTCATCCTGATTATTTTTCACAAAACAGTCTTTGATCATATGGCCTTTTCTTCCGCAATGGTGGCATTCGAAAGGAAATTTGCTTTGCTTGCTTAAACTACTTGAAGTGGCGGGTGCTTCTTTTGTCGAAACATTAGCAATTTTCATTTCTAAATCTTTAATAGAAGCCTGTATTTCATCCCTCAATTACCTTAGTTCTTCCCTGACAATCGATTCTTGTTGAGCATCAGGAACCACTTGGTTATTGCTTGTGTTCTTGACGTATCCACCATCTCCTCTTCTCTGGCGTTCTGCTCCACAGAAGGCTTCAATTTCCACGGCAAAACGTACAGCATCATTTAGCGACTTTGGTCGTGATTGCTGAATGCGAAGGCGCTTATCAAAATCGGCCAATGCATCTACAAACTGATCCTTGGCTATCATCTCGGGCACATCTCTGGGAGCCGTTTGATAAGCGAGAGGTGCCAATCGTCGAATGCTTTCACCAAGTTCTGGTAAAGATTCATTTGGTTTTTGACGTTTTTCTCTAAGCATAGCCCGATAGAGTTCGGTTTGATTTGCGGGTGCGAATTTAATCTTGACTCTAGGGTATCACACAGCTCTATATAGGTTCTATTTGCACCAGGTCGCTTATTGCCAAGAAGATTTTGAGCCTGTCCTCTTGAAGAGGCTGCAAGGTACAAACTTTTCTGTTGTGAGTTCCAGGAGTTGATATTGCTACATGCTTCAAAATGGGCCTTATAATCTATCCAAGACCCAGTCCCATCATACGTTGCTGGTTTCATTGCTGTTTTTACTATAAATATTCCTTGAGCAGTGCATTTGAATCGTTCTTACTCAAATCACTCAAATCAAGGGTATGTAGATGTCTATATACTGGTTCCTGCACTGGATTCTGGTTGTTTGACCAAATAACTGTGGAGGAAGCTGATGAGATACAGCACACCTTATGTTTAAGGAAGGGCTTGGTGTCAAATGTGTCTCGGTAAAAATTGGTTGTCTTATTATACCAAATCGCGGCAGCTTATTTTTTGTATCATTCTGTAAGGTTCGATTAACGGTCTGTTTATCTTTGTACAGTGTATAACCAGACTCTGGATATCTCATATGTCCAACTGCATAGCCTGTGTTACCCACTTGGTGTTCTGTAATCTAATTCATCTAAACTGTTGTCTGGGTTTTTATACCTAACATCTACTCCGGAATCTGGTACCACTGAAGACTTGAAAGACATGCAGTGGAGAAGATCGTAATTTTTCTATTTCTTCTCTGAGCTTTTCCCTTCTGGCATCTATAGCACTGAGATCAGGCCCCAGGATCATGAAACAGACTTAGACTTAAGTCAAATTTTCAATCGTCTGTAAATTGTTGATTAATTATTGAATTAATCTCTAAATTTGCAGATGACAACACTTTTGTGAAGCAATATAGAAGAATATTTTGATTTTGGTCTGTTTGACTTCTACAACATTTTAGCACAGTACTAAAAATTTCACTTAAGCTTAAGACGTTTCATGATCCTGGGGCCAGCTAGCAATTCGTCCCCTCTACGAAACGATCACGCACATATAGTGTCAGGCCTGATTATGAATCTACCCCCCACGAAACTCCCGATTTTCCAGTTTGGACATTTTTTTTTCGAAGAAAACCATTTGTGTACTGCCCCACTCCCTCCTTTCTAAAAGTTTTGAATCCGCCACTGGAAACTTTGCGTTGTAAAATTCTATTCTTAATTCATCTCAAATTTTGAATAAATACTAACATTATATAATGCATCTCATAATTATAATTATTTAAATTGATAGGTACCTGCACGTCCACTTCACTCGGCATTTCAGTTGCGATTGCTAAAAATGGGGTACTAAATCAACTTTCTGCAAAATCATCTGATTGGTTTAGAGATATATATCCAAATACACATGTAAATTAGCGAGGTCATAAGAAA